TTAAAAATAAAGGTGTTGGTGTTGAAGGGTTTCACCATCTGACTCTAATCTTACAGACACAGTGACCATAATTACTGCCTATCTTTAGCTGAAGCAAGACAGTGAATTGTAAAATAGTGTTTTTAAAAAAACTAAATAAATTTTTGGATACAACTTAGGGGAAAAATGTATTCTTTTGCTGTACTCTCACATTATTGAGAAAAACAAATACTACTTGGTACTTAAAAAACTATTTTACTAAATATTATTAACATTGCAGTATATAAAACAGTTACATTAAACCCCACTCTGACTAGATATTCATAGACGCTGCACACTTATTCATGCATGACTAAAGCAGCTCAGTTTAGAAGGGCACTCAAAGGGCTCATCCTCTGCCAAGCCAGTGAAAATGATCTGGATCTGTACCAAATTTCAATGTTTTCTTCCTACGGCCATTCTACACCTCTCCACCACATTGTAGTTTTGATAGTTTTTAAACTAATCTTGACAAACCTTCAGACAGAATGACAGATAAAATTTGCACTTGTTTTGGCGATTTAGTAGTAAATTATGAAGAAAATAGGCTAAAAATTTGGAGAACAATACTAAATAGTGACGGACATTTCTTCTTCTTTTTAAACATAATAATTTTTCAGTCTAGTTTCACTTGTAATTTATTATCAAGAATATTGTGAATGTGAGAGTTAGGCTGTAATATGACCTTTTTCATATTGTGTCCTTCTTCTAAAACTGCATTATACAGCCAGAAAGCCTCATCCTCCAGTATTGCTGCAGTAGCTAAACAACCATTTGCAAATATGTCTACAATAACTGACTAATTGAGTGTCTTTACCCTGGCAGGATTTCTAAAGTATATTTCCTGATTTATGTATGTATTTACTGCAGGTAAGCTACCGTGCCAGACAGAGCATGACTCATCAAGCCATAATCAACATGACTGCAGTCTGGGTGCTAGCCTTTGTCCTCTATGGCCCTGCTATCATATTCTGGGAGCTGGTGGTGGGCAGAAGCCGTGTGCCAAAGGATGAGTGCTTCGCAGAGTTCTATTACTCTTGGTACTTCCTGCTGAGTGCCTCTATGCTGGAGTTTTTTTCTCCTTTCATCTCTGTGGCTTTCTTCAACCTCAGCATTTACCTCAGTATACGCAGGAGGAGGCTGCACAGCAGGGAGGCTCAGCTTCACCTTCAAGCAAGTGAACCCGCCTCTGCCCAGGGGGAAGGTATCCCCCTGTCCCACAATTGGGGGTTTGGGATAAAACTGGCTGTAAGAGGCTCTATCAACTCCCAGACATCCTCTCCTGGTTTGGGTAAGCTAGATGCCTCAAACAGCAGGGCAGCCCATCCTAGCCGTCTGTCCAGGGATAAGAAAATTGCTAAGTCTCTGGCCATCATAGTATGTGTGTTTGCCATCTGCTGGGCACCGTACACCCTACTGATGATCATCCGTGCTGCCTGCAGAGGGCGATGCATCCAGCATCACTGGTACGAGGTCACCTTCTGGCTCCTGTGGCTCAACTCTGCTATTAACCCATTCCTCTACCCGCTGTGCCACAGTAGCTTCCGCAGGGCCTTTAGCAAGATTCTCTGCCCAAAGCGGCACACTACTCCCCCATCATCTGTCCTACGCACTGGCCAGTGACAAACTGATGCCTGTGGATGGATGGTGATGAACAATGCGCCTGAACTGTTGATGGATGTGTTTATAAACCGTTGAAACCAATCTGTGCACCATAGTTTGTTATATAGAAAGTAACTCACAGTTTTCAGTTGTGTTTTTCAGCATTTGGAAGTTCAAGATTTTTGCTGCAAAACATATCAGAATTTAGCAATCAGTTTTCCTGTGTTCAGCCAAAGGATGTGTTAAGAGGCATAGAAATATCCCCAAATGTATTTTGATAAGATGCTGGAGAAGGAACTGAAAAACTATTAGCAGTGTTATGTCAGTTGTTGAATATGAGGAAGAAAAAAATCACGAGGAGGTGAAACACATATACACAAATATAATGCAAAAAACCCCAAACATTGCAATATAATCTGCAAGCTTACGTGTCAGTGAAATATTGTCAAGCAATTCATTTTATTGGCACATTAATTGTCTTTTTTAATTAAGCGACAGGTAAGATAGATAGATTATTTTGTGTGAGAATAAATATATTTAAAGGGTTTCCTCCACTGTGGCCAGAGCTTAAATAAACAGATCACTATCACCCTCTACTGTCAGAAGGTTTACTGCTCCTGTAATGCCAGAAGCACAGTGAGGAAAATACAAAGTGCCATTAGGTTCAAGTGTGCAATTTTAAAAATGAGATCTGCTTTTAAAGCCTATATTTAAGGTAAAATGTTATATATTAGTGATGGATTATATATGCCCAAACCCCCATTTTTACTGTGATTACCATGTGTATATATCTGTATGTGCCACTAGATGTCACCATTAACCTTTATAGTTTCCTTTGAGTGCAAAGCTTTATGAAGTGAAGTCGGCCAGTCAGTTTACTGTAAACTGCATATAGCAACTTTAAAATTTTAAAAACCTAATCAGTAGCAGTATGTTCTGTGCTCTGGCTAATGTTAAATAGAGTCACCGTGTGATGTAATGCTATTGGTGCTATAAATGCTATATATTTGTGCAGCTGTAATAGTTACTATTAGTGACGGCTCGTATGTGATCTTCTTGGCTCATAGGAACCGCACTGTATTAAACATCAGCTTTTTTCCTTTTTTAAAGAATGAAAGCAAATATAAAAACACGTGTCTTTAACTGGCTCATGATCTTTATGCAGGCGTGGAGTGAAATAAATAAAGTTTCTCTGCGTTGTGTTGTAAATGACCGCCGTGTGCCCTGTAGTTGCTGTCTACTTGATGGCTAATTGGGTCAGCGCCAAATGCAGTGTGGACTTTGTTTGATGTGCAGATGAAATGCTGAGAGTGCGATTCCATTTTGTATTGTTCCCAGTCTGATAACGTTTGATTGATAGATTAAATGAGTCCTTTCCAGATGTAGACTTGTTAGACCTGTAATTACGCCATCATGTTAGATAGTGAGGTTACATTTGCAGGTGCCTGGGTCCCACAGGGACTTACATTTCTCAATTGTTGCTTTTGCCTGTGTGCACATCTGGGCCCCTGGTCAGGTGCTGGGAATAAGGGCACAGCTGCAGGGAAGTGGCCTCTGCCTACTCCCCCACAACCCCCACCCCAAACCAACCCACTCTCTCTCTGCCCGTGGCGTGTTGGGGGGGAATGGGGGGGCAGAAGCACACTTCTGACCAGAGGGATGCAGGCACGTTTCCCTCGGAGGGCAGAACTGCATTATCAGCAGAATGGCGAGGCTGGCTTTACTCTCTGTTTATTTGAATGCGACAGCAAGAACGTTTTTTACTGTGGAGCACTTGCACTGTGTACAGTTATATTAAGAGGCGTACTGCTATTGATTTTGTTGATAGATTGAAATGTCATGGCTTGTGTGCCAAACCAATTGGGGATCATGCCAGCTTAAATTGGTCTAGGAGAGGTAGCGCCATGGAAATACAGATGAGAGATAATAATTACGAACACATAGAAATGTGTGTTCACGTGGCTCTTAATCCCACCATGTCTGTGTTGTGTGTTAATGGTGGCTGTTTGTGACCCCAAGCAACGTGTTGTGACCTCAAATGGAGCACACCTGTACCCTTAAGTTTATAGAGCCCATTAGCAGAGATCAGTAGGTGATCAGAGGGGGAGAGGGCCTTTTTAACTTCCCCATGAGGTCTTTGAATAGTAAACTCTTAGAGCTCCTCCTGTAGCACTTTGTTGGAGTGATTTAATGCTGGAATCTCTTGTTTCAAACTGGATAATACCAAAGAGCTGTAAAAGGTGGCAGATGTGGTATGAAGCACGGTAATATGTGGCAAAAGTACAGGCACTCTTTACAACGTAGAGCCAATATTCTACAGTTTTGTTATTTCCAGGGTAAAGCTGGAATGTAAAAGTAAACCTGCAGACAGCATCACACACTTTATCATGACAGGTCAAAAACTTCACCACACTAGTGAATGCATCATGGTCCTCCACCTCATTCTGTTCTGAGCTAACTAATTGTAAACCCCAGTTATATTTCATGATGTAATCAAAATACACATATAAAAGGCTAATTCTGCTTGATTTTTTTCTTTTTTTTTGCTTTCGTTTTCCCTCAGCTTTTTCCTGCAGTGTACTTCCTGACTAGAGATTAAATAATTCCATTGGAATCCTCTTAGGATGGGTTCCCAGCACTTGGCAATTAAACAATTACATTTAATCAGCATGGGGCGACGCTTCAAGTCACCCTCATTTCAGACGTTGATTAAAAGCAATTCTGCAGTGGTTATTGCTGTCGACTTCGAAACTGCGGTTCACTTAGGTTTACTGCAACTGCGGGGTCAGGTTGGATAGCAATATGGCAGGTTCACTGGTGTCTAGAGCTGTATCTGCCTCTGGTGCGTGAAACTGTAACGACAGAATCATGGCAGACCTTATATTGTCCCATAAGTCGGAGCTAGTTAGATTACTTGGAGACATTTTGACCCTGCAGCTAAGAAGACTCACTGAACAATGGAAGGGAGAGGGGCATTAAGTTATGCATGTGGGAGTATAGATGTTTGAGTGTGTGCACGCTTCATTTTCTATTATGTGTCTATACGCGGCTGTTTCTTTTTGCATCTGCATTTAAGTCCATTTGGCTCGAATGAAATGCATCTCGACACGTGCAATTTCATCATGCTATGCAATAACACCTCCCTCTGTGATGGCAAACAAGCTGCGAGAGGGCAGAGGAGGTCGTTGCGAGAGCTGTATTTTGACATTAGGCTTGAGTGAAAGCGTGCTACGTGGCACGGTGCTGGAGCCGACTATCGTCTTTGCTGTGCAACACAGATGAGTAGTGATGGATACCCGCCCCCCTCATGTGAAACCCAGGTGCCCCTGTTTCATAAGGCGCCCCACTGGCTCTCCAGCCCTCTTAATTAGCGGCTTCCATCAGCTGGCACCCAGGCCTTCAAGCACCAGTCGCTGGCCTCTGCTGCTGAAGGAATCTAGTTCACTCCAGATCTTTAGCTTGTCTAACAGATGAATGCATGGGCGGTCTAAATAAGAGGCATCAAGGTTTTTTCGTAAACCTGTAAATCATCAGTGAATGTTCCTGGTATCTAGATCAAATGCTGCTGGAAGGAGCAAAAATACTGTTGAATGCATTACTCGCTGTGCTTTTTTGTTGTTGTTGTTAAATATGGGTAAGTGTGTGAATAGGCCATGAGCTGCACATATATTTTAACAAGACATTGATGATTTTTTTAATATGATGAAGTCAAATATAGATAAAAGTTTCACCAGGATGGCGAATGCAGCTTTTTTTTCTTTCTGTGCAGTATCATAGCAGCGCTGTAACAATAGTCTCTTCTAATGACATTCCCCAGTAACTTCTTGCCTGTATGAATCTCAGGGGAAAGAGCTACAAAAAGCGATAATTACATGAAATATACATAGTGAATAAAGGGAGCATGTTTACATAACCAGGCCATAAATATCTGACTTAGAAGACATTGTTCTCCAACTTCTTTTAAGCTGATCTCTCAGGGATGCCATTTTAATGACATGATGGTTTAAAGAGATGCTGCTCCATCTCGTTCCATATTTAATTAACTTTTGCTTTTCTGACGCAGAGGAAAAAAACAGAATAAAGAACGCGTGATAGAGACAAACACGCACGATAGCGAGGAGACAATAACAAATAGCTCGGAGACAGAGAAGGGAGGCACAGGGAACACGAGCGGAGACCTTGTCATGCTTTTGTGAGCTGTTTACAATATAAGAGATGCAAAGCAAGAGGAGGAGTGGTGGAAGACGAACAGCCAGGAAGACTGACATGGGTGAGAGAGGGTGAGAATAAATGATGAAAAGACGGGAAGGGAATGAACGGGATGCTCCAATG